CAAATAGCAAGAATTAGAGGTCTCACATCCAGACAAGATGTGGAGAAGCTAATTTTGCCTTCATCTCCAGCGACTACAAAAGGTCCCTTGTCTCGTCTCCCAATAAAGATCATTAGCAGCAACATATTCAGGACCGGAGACCAGGAGAACTGAACATATAATTCCTGTTTTTAAATGTTCCACACTGGCTTCCATTAAGTTATGTAACAGATTTTTACTGCTCGCTTTACAAATCAGAGCCAAAATACATTTCTGATAATTAAGAATAGAAACAGCAGGTCACTTGGGGGAAGCCGTAAAAACAACACAGACTGTCACTTTATATGGTTGTTATATTGAATGTGTTAGCTAAGAGTTGAGTCATCCAGCAGATACAGTTAGATACATTAGCACTCATTTGAGTTTCTGGCCACGTCCAATATTAAATAAATACATTTTTTTTGTGCTAGTTTTGGTCTCCACCAACTGCTTAGAGAAATATCTGTTTTTTAGCTGCTAAATGCTCCACTATTATCATCAGCTAGTAGCTACTTTTGTCATTCTGTTGTTTGGTGCTTTGCAGGTAGAGAAGAGGGTTATTTTTAAGACGTTTTTGCTGAAAACAGCTGCCTGTTGCCATTGTTGTCATGGCTGATGAGAGGGGTAACAGAAACCAAAACAATGAGCTGAAAGATGCTACAATGTCCCAAAGACTTGAGGGGAACTGCACAGTCATTAGATTATTCTCTTTCGCATACAAGTAGTCATGTGATAACCTGCTAGAGATCCCAAAATTCCCAAAAGTCATGTGATCCACTGTTCATATAAAAATATTGATTCCTGCCTTATGTTAAACACCTGAATTGCTCCTGTGTTTGAAAGGTGCTGCGCAAATAAACTCGCCTCGTTAGGTCAGATTTCAAATGATAAGGTCACGGAGGAGAAAATCACAGGCAGATTAGCTGTGACTGGTTTCCTTCGTAACCTGCGCGACCTCCAGACTGCTCCCTCATGTCACATGCCAACCAAATCTCTAATCTTGGCTTTCACACTGCGACAAAGAAAGCCCGCTGCCTTGCTCTCTCCCTCTCTCTCAACTCTCTCACTCACTCAAGGGAGCAATGATGAAGGAGACGGAGAGCGAGGACGGGAGAAAGGGAGTGGAGCGAGAAATAGAGAGGGATGGCGATAGGGGGAGAGAGTTAGAGAGGGGTCGCTGTGTGAGCGATAAAACGCCACAGGCAGCCTTAATGAAAAGCCTCTCATGGCGATGGAGAGATTGCCTGTGGAATGGGCTGCTGATTGGAGAAGCAGCAGCTTGGTGTAGCGTGCAGACTAATTAAAGTATTGAAGGGGTTGGGGTGACAGGGGGAAGATTAGACCTGCTCCCAGGGTTAGCCGAGCTGAGGAGAGGCGGACAATACACCTCACATTTGGGACAATTGGGATGGATGGGATAATGGGGGAATATACCACGAGCAAACAGCTCCACGGTGAAGACATCTTGAACCGATGCTGTACTCCCATGTGGACATTGTTGTTGTCTACAGCTGCTACCTGCGTTATTTGTACGATCAGGACATAATAGAAAATAGCTTTAAAGCCTGTGTAAAGGTTAAATCTCTTTCAAGAAACAGTGTCCCCATTACTCTTGATAAGCCACAGATCTCTATCAACTATTTTCACAAGGGCAAGAAAGTAGTTCCAGTGAAAACTGTTGAGGTCTGAGGATTATTTAGATAAACTCAGAAATTGTTCCTGGAAAGAGAGGTTGTTGTTTTCAAAAGTAATTTGAATTGCATGCTGCTGGAGGCAGAAATCTCAAAGACAGATATCTAAAAACCTGTGCATATACATCCGAAAGTACCTGGAAGGCTGGATACCAATAAGCGAGTGAAAAAATATTCTATTATAATATTTTTTGCTCATTTGAGCGAGCTGACCTTTGTAAATATGAAAATTAACTATGGTTTAATTATATGTTTTGTGCTCAAATGGACTTATGTCAAACTGTTAGTCATCCTAAGGGGTTGGGAACATCACTGCTGTCGGTCAAGTGCTTCCACAGACCCATCAAGATCCTCTATTCTATTCTATTCTTGCACTTAGGGGTTTATTCTTGACCTTGGATATAGCAGTTTGACAGAAAAATCCTGCTGAATTACTTGGTGTTTTACTAAAAAACCAAAAGAGTATTGAGCTTTTGAAGCACCATGAAACATTCTTCCTCAAAACCTCTGACTGCATGTTTTTATTTATGTAGTTGTGACTTTCTTGAAATGTTTCCTTTTAATGTTCCTTATATGTATTTTAATCTGCTTGAGCTGCTATTGTTTACCCGAATGTTTGTAGTGTTATCCTGTTGTCAATTAAAAAACAGCTGTGGTAGCAGTACTCAGGCACAGCAGCGCTTTGAGCTAAATGCATGTTAGCCATGCTCACAGTGAAAATGTTAACATGCTGAACTTTAGTAGGTATAATGTTTACCATGTTCAACATCTTAGTTTAGCCTAAACAGAACAGAAACAACAACAGAAAGTACAGCTGCTGATTTGAAGGTGACCTACTTATTCATAAACCAAAGTATTATTATCATTATTAGTATGATGGCACTAAATTAAAATGTCCAAACTTCATCAAAATCAATGCAATATTGGTTAAGACTTTTCACTCAAAACCAACAAATGTCAACCTGCTGGTGGCGCTAGAGGGAAAGTCAGGTGATCAAAGTCAGACCACATTATCATCTGACGGACATGAATGTTTTTTTAAATTCAACACATTTTATAGAGATCCATCCAATAGTAGATATTTTAGTCTGGACTAATGCAGCCAACCGACATTGCCATCCCTAGAGCCATGCTGCTAGTGTGGCTAAAAATTAAATATGTCAGGTGATAAGAACTGAAGCATCTCCATGACAACTCCATCTGCTGATGAGATGTGGCTGAAATCTCAACCAGAGAGAAAAAAAAAAACTATTCTCCATTTTTATGTAGTTTAACAGTGTGTTTGTGTTGTTTTTGTCATTATACATCATGTAAGAAAGACACACATGCAGAAATCAATACAGTACCTACAATCCTTATCTCCACTGTCAGTTTAAAATGTTTTTTTCCACAGAGGATCTTGATCTACAGGACTCATCTGGATGCACAGTGGGGGATAGAGACAGTATCTCAGATAGTACACTGGCATCCAAGGTCATTATCAGTGATTCACTTCAAGGTGAAAAACAAGAATAAAAACCTGTCTGAGTGAAAGTGAAACAGATGGGGTCAAAGGTCATAGTGAAGCTGTCAACCTGTCACTGCTGTGGCCGCTCGCGATGTGTAAACTGTGTTTTACCTCACATGGTCTGAATCCGAGTTAGAGTTTTAAAGTGTGTCAGTGTGAAATATGTTTTCCACCAATCTATCGCGCTAATTTCCATTCATTATTTGCATTATCATCATCATTATCAGCGTCTCTTCTCATTGCAGCTTTGCAATGTCACATCTCGCCTCGCTGCTAAAACCACCATTTCCCACAGGATTAATAATGTAGCTGCCTGTCTGTCTATCAAGTGCTGAGAAGAAGAAAAAAAAAAAAACACAAGGCCTGAAAAGTAAACTCCTTCCTGCTGGCATCTCAACACCCAACAGCAGAAAATACCAGGGGATGATGTGGAAGGAACTCATTAGTGAGTGGCATTTAAGATGCAATCCAGTAACGCAAACTGGGGATTTATAATATCAACAGAGTATGATTGACAAGTTCTAAACTGGTGGAGTTTTTCTTTCTCTCCAGTGAGTTTGTTAACAAAACCATCAAAAACTCTGCTATTAGGGATTAATGATGTAACAGAAAGTACTAATCTATATTTGGTAACACTTAATGACCGTTCCTTGCCAACAAGCATAACAACCCTTCCTCAGGTGGCACTAGATGTCCAGGATGTGCAATAAACAGTATTAGAGCAGCAAATGCAAATCCACAGCAAAGAGATTTATCTGTGCACATTGCATCATACTGAGTCAGACTGGTGTAAGTTGATTTTAATTATTTGTTTTTAGAAGGCATCATTTTTCATAACCGAAAAAAACCTGCCCCCTTATGTCCAGACAGCTTAAACTATCATTTCAACATTATTATTTATATTGTAGTCAGTAAAATCATTAGTTCTGTTCTGTATCAAACTGGTTCTGCAGCAACATGAAAACTCCTCCGCAAAGCCGCAGCATAAATATCTGATAACATTACGCTGCTTTTAGGGACACTGCAAGTATATCTAATGTTTACAAATAGATGACACCTTAGCAGTTATACACTTATAATGCACCATAGAAATTATTATACACAAGGACCCCAGAAAAAACCATTAGAGCTTTTGTGTTTATTGCAGCACACTTAAATCTAATTCATTGCCATTTTTATTGATTTTTATTCTTTTTACAGTAGAAATACTAGGATTTTCTTTTTTTTTTTGGAAGGAGCAGGTCAGTTTTACCTGATTTTTACCCAGACATCCTTGTGCATCAGTAAGTTGTTGGGTTTGCTGCTAAAGACGACACAAACTGCCATAGTTTACAGTAGGTCCTCCTGTGTCGAGCACAGCTCAGAATATGGTTTAGTTGATAGAGAAGATAAACATGAAGAGAAAATGCAAATATGCTGCAGACAAGGCACCACACTACTTTTTTGTGTGTTTTTGTCAGACGTTTGTATTATTATAGGTACTATTAGGTATTTTTGAAAATAAAAACTATTTTAAAAACCTATTTTGATCACTGATTAACATAATTTTACTGTACTTGTAACTTGCATGTACAATGTCTCTGTAATGCAATCATTATTTCTATGAACAATTACCAACATAATCCACAGCTACAGCCAAATGCATACAATAAATGTACCCAAATTTCAAACCATGTTATCTCCGCCATAGAGAAGATGACTGTTTACAGCGAATATAATAAGCATACACGGATGTACTGTTGTGTGCACTGCATCATATGTTTCTGTTGGCTTTTGTATCATACCTTGACGGGTTTCTTGCGCGATGACTCTGCCTCGTTGTTCTCTGCCTCCTCGTGCTCCTTGCTACCTTGGGGCAGGTTGGAGTAGTTGGCCAGGCTGCTGAGAAGAGATGACACCATGGGGCTGGTGTCCATCTCCTCCTGCAGAGATACAAACACAAACAGGAAGGCTGGAATCAGTCTTTTTATCAAGGTTTTGAATGAAAGTAGAGGTCGAAGAGATTTAAGGCCAAACCCTCATCTTTACTATACTTGTGCTTTTTAACCCCCTCATCCAGCCAGGTGAAGCCGGTACTGTAACACTCAGAGTACTACACATTTAGTTTAGTACCACTCTGTGCTAAGACCACTATTTCAAATTCCAATCCAACTGGAAAAAAACACAGAGTGCTTACACGATACATTGTTCATTTTCTGATTTTGTTTTCTTTTTTCCTGTTTAATCTAGAAATCCCACTGCGAGCACGATGTAAACACACTTGTGCAGGGCTGAGGCAAATTGCCTCCTTGAAGTTCTGTTCCTGTAGCACTCTGAGATTTGCTTGCATTAACCTGAAGTTCCCACATGCCCTTCACACAGTAATTACCCTCATTAATCGATGTCAGAGCCCCTATTCAATCACTGAATTGTGAGAATGAGTGTATCCTGCTTCTTACGATCATGCCTGATTGTGTGAGCAAATCAGTGTGTGCAGAATATTGGATCGTACCTCAAACAAGGCCATGTTCTTGCCATCATACTGCTGGCTCTTCTCTGCGGCAACATCACTGCTGTTGATGAAGGGGCTGCTCTCCTTGGGATTACTGTCACCTGGAAGACATAAACACACACACAGACCTCCACTTTTAGACTGGACTGAAATAAAGCAGACCACAGAGACACCAAAAAAAAAGGAAAATGCACGAGCCAGACACGAGCTTCTTTGTGTCAAATAGGCAAAGAAAGACACACAGACAGAAAACTAGAGGACGTCTGCCAGGAGAGGAGGGGAGGCTTGTTGTCTCCATAAAGCGCCCACAGTCAGAAATGCAGAGAAACAGAACCATAACTAATGGAGTGTGCGTTTACAATATGTGCAGTGCTATATATTCCATATGGCCACAGGAGGAACACACACTGGAACATCTCAATCAGTTTTACGCTACACTGACAAACAACAAGATCACAAGTTTGAACACCAACACAGAGAAATAATAAGAAATGTTCAAATGCTCGGCAGCTTTTTACCCTCAAAACACAGAACGCTAGAAACAGTGTGATGTTATTTAGGTGACAGCTTGCTGTAGGCATCATGACTCCATCGAGAAGCATCTGTCTACGAGTTCACAGTCTAAGGCAAATCTTCAAAACAAATAAATCTTCAAAACAAACAGTATTGGAAGGGCAGCGTCCATCTCTCGGGAGATTTATTGATCGGACCCTCTGCAAGATCATCTAGAAGCTCACTGATTTCCGATTGAGGTTTGAAAATGGATTACATACAACACAAGACCTTGGTCGATCCATTATTGCTATGCGACTGTCCCACTTACAAAAAAAACACATTTCTTAGTTCTCTCTCTGTGTTTTCCCAGTTTGTTATTAATGGTGTTAAATGTTAGGTCCTCAAGAGTGAAAGAAAACCAAATTGACCATAAAAATCACAAGAGTGAGAGAAAGAATGAGCTAACCTTGTTTAATGTTAACATGCTAGAAATGCTAATTCAACAGCAAATGTAACGTGTTTATTGTGAAGCAGCCACAGGAAGTCCCGAGTAATGATCAAAAGTAGTTCTAGCATCATTATCGAGCGTTAATAAAGGTTGGTATTTGTTTAGCTTAGAACTGGTAACTGCAGGTGTTCACTGCAATATACATATCAGAGGTAAGAAACACCTTTGCTGCTGCTAGAATTACGGCAGCGCAATGATGCTTCTATTAGACACCTGTGGTGACTCTGTGGGGACATAGAAGGTCCCGCTGTCACTGGTGGGCACCCACAGGAATTTGAATACAAATAAGAGAGCGACAACTTTCATGGAAGCGACAAAAAAAACTGTAATTGGTCAGCTTGGGCTGCATGCCTGTTTATCGTGTGGGTACATTTATTGCAGGTTGAAAAGAGATTTTTAGCGACACCGCAACTAACCATTATTTTCATTGTTCTTATTTTCATATAATCATTGATTAACTTTTCAAGGATTCCAAATTCCCATCACAATTTCACAAAAATCCCAAACATATTTTGACCAGCAGTTCAAAACTTAAAAAATATTTAGTTTACAATAATATAAAAACCAGAAACTGTAAATATTTGGGATTTCTTCCCGGATTCATCGATTATCAAAATTGGTGGATTAATTGACCAACTGATTTAGCACTAACTGTAAGTGCTGCTTTATAATAAGAGAAAATAAGAGGATGTGAACGTGAGTATATAACAGAATTAATCATCATGATGAATGCACACTAACTCTTCATTCAACAAATCTCGTGTAAATCTATACAGTAAAGACGATGACAGAGATGTGGTTCAACAGACGACCCCTCACATTTTTAAGCATGTTAAGAATAATAACACACCACGACACTGAAAAGACAAAATTTGAGTCTAACTTGATTTAACACAGTTGATTGCAGAGGTTAAACGCCCTCGAACCCACCCCAGTTCTGTTAGGTACCAACAAGGCCTCATGTGGATCTAGTGTGATTTTACACCTCTCATCTAGAAATATAAATAAATTCATTTTGTTCATCAGTGAAGGTCTGGGTGGCGAAGGCGGCACAGAGTAAGCGGTCCTATTTGCGCCTTCCCCTTCGAGCATCTCTTGAGGGAGACAGCAGATTGCTCTCCCTCTGGCTCTCGGTTCTGTCTTGGACTGAGCACCACGAGACCAAGTTATTTATAGCCAGGATGCTGCAGCCATGTGCCATGACGTCGGGGCACCGCTAACAGCCGGCGTGCTGTTCTACAGAGACAGAGCAATAGGGCCAGTCAGACAGGGACACTGAGAAAAGGGGCCGCGCATGAAGATTCGGGGCACGAAAAGAGCACAAAAAAGAACGAGAGAAGCTGGCAGAGGAGACGTTAATACAAAGAGAATGAGGGTGCAGATGAGAAGATGGAGAGAGACACAGATAGATGGGGCGAGAGTGAATAGTGACAGGGATGCGGGCTCGGACAGACAAAGACGAGGCAGCTAGACCTGAAATGGGAACCCGCAGAGGGAAAGATGAAGAGGAAAGAGAGATACACACTTAAGTCTCCAGCTGTAAAATGTAAAAGCTTCTGCTTCTGCACTTAAGGTTCAGCTCACTTTGACCTGGAGGTTAAAACACACACAGCGGTTAAAAGGGAGGCTGGAGACATCCGGCAGAGGGTTTTCAGAACACGTGGATTATCTGGTTTGTTTGTTGCAAACTATTTTTACCTCGTCAGACTGCGTGAGGATGATATGAACCTATGATACAAGAGTGCTACGTGCATCTGTAGAGACGAATAATATCAGGCTTGTTGAACAGAGCAGATGAGATAAAACATCAATGAACACAGGAGAACACGGGGAACAGAGAGAAAGGTACAGAATGCACTAATGTATCCACTTTAGTTACTATATTTATCATGTGCCATTGTCTCCTAATTGAAATGTACATAAACTTTATGTAGTTCTTCCACAGTATGTTGATAACTTGATATATTGATGAACAGAAAACTGAAAAATATTCTGGCTTTTCCAATGTGAAGATTTTCTGCTTTAATTTCTTTTTTTTAGTATTGCAAATTGAAGTCTAAGTTTTGGACTGTATGAAAAAACAAGCAATTTCACCTCTAGAAAGACTAAATGAGTCTTTCATCATCCTGCACACAACTGAAGTTAAATATATGAATGAGTCTGAAGGAATTTCATATTTATGATTTTAAAAAAGTGTGTCTGTGTATGATTGTTTTGTGTGACTGACTTATGTTATGTCTTCTTATATGTGTAGTGCAAAATAACTCATATATTTAATATATATTGATCTTAGTAAGACTTTTTGAATAGATAAAGTCAGATACACTTGCACCAACGACTATACAGTTAAATTTGAGGTGCTGGAGAAAGCTGTGACAACAAAATATGTTGCCGTTATCAATAGAGGTTATAATGTTGATGTACACCTGAATGAATGTGATAAGATCTCACTGACACAGATGGTGAAACACAAATGAAACAGAAAACAACTCCTAGATGTAAACCTAAAAAAAGTATTATTTTCTCCATCTCAATTTTCTACGTACTATGGAGTGTTTATCATGTAGTGAATGTGTGTTTCAAGGATCAAAGTACATACATAGACCAACATACTCTATTTCACACACAGAGAGCACTTCTTAAAGGATCAAAGGGATACGTGATGTAAGTGGGAATACACACACACACACACACACACACACTATTGTATATCTGAAGGGCTAATGCCCCAAAGACACTTTCTCTCCCCTATCACTTATCTCTCCACGGCCCATTTCTCCTCATCGTCTAATAATTAAAACTCCATCATCAAAGGAATGATGGATACCCTCTTTTTGGAAAAATGACAGTGCTTATAAGAGTTTTGCTCTGACCGCGTCCCCGAAGCAGCTTATCCTCCTTCAATCTGATGGGATCTGTCCAACAATGGCTCTCACTATCAAAGCCTTCGCCTATCTATGGTCAAAATCCAGAGCTTTACTGCTCACTGAGTATGCGATCGTCTTCCAAATCCTCTACAAAACAAAAACACTCAATTTACACTTAGTCTCTCATTTTCTTGTATGAGACATTTCACAGTAGAGGTTCGCTGTGAAATATACCGAAACTCACACTTGCATACTGCAGTGTGGTTTATAACCTACTTGGTGTCATGCCAAGAAACACACTATGTTTTTTCTTTATGGATTCATTTATTGTGATACATGCTCACTGTTTTATTGTTTAATGTTCAAAATTAAATATGCCTCGTTTGTAGAGTGGGATTTTCTCCAAAGTTCAACTAAATTCAGCTTTGACCCCCAAATACTTCCATAACCTGCATCCATCCAATGGCGTTCCAGCGCTGATGATAGATTACTCAATTGAATGAGTCTTTTTTAAAGACAAAAATGCAAATATTTTATGATTAAAGCTTCTGATATGTAAGGCTTTGAAGAAAACAAGCAAGCGATTTTACCTCAGGCTTTCTTGGAAATACTTTTTGGGCTATTTGACATTTTATAAACTTTCAAATGTTTCATTGATAAATCTGAAAAAACAATAGTAGTTGCTGATTCTATTTATCAGGGTGACTTCACAGCAAAGATCGGGTCACAAAATGTTAATACATATATATATATATATA